TTTTTTTTTTTTTTTTTTTTTTTTAAATACTTTTATTTACAAAAGAATATTACGTACAGTGTTTCATTCAATTATTAGCGTGGATTGATGCATATTACATAGTTTTTTTTGTATTATATAATATTTTTATATCCATATAATTTTTTCGGTACTGATTTACAATTTTGTTTTTATGATGTACAGTACGATGTGAAAGTGGATTAAACAGGCTATATGGAAAGGTTGCGATGCAACATTTTGTCGTTTACAATCTGTAGCGTTATTTGGTAGTTTTCGTCTTTGGAGACTTGAATCATTCCTGTTTTTTCCCAGTTGTTGATTTTTTTCGTATTTAGATTTTTTTTACTATTATTTATCGTTTCCAGTAGTCTTTGTAAGTGGAACTTGAATTTCCTGATTGTCGTTATATCGTTGATTTTTCGGAAATACGCTGTGTTTCTGCTTCTCCAGATAGCTTCGAATGCTGTTATTAAGATAGCGTAATTTACCTCTTTGTTATGTATATTATGAAGCCATTTGAGTTCATTTTCGTTACATGGTTTTTGAATATTGTTGAATTTTTCTAGGAATTCCCATACTTTTTTCGTATGTTCGCATTGGAGGAAGGCATGGTTAAGAGTTTCTGGTAATTGGCATACGGGGCATTTATCCGTGGATATTAACTTTTTGTTTTGTTTCCATGTATTTGTAGGGAGACAATTATGATGCATGCGCCAGAAGATTGTTTTCGCATTGTTGTTTATTCTTAGTTTCGATAAGGTTTTTATTATGCTTTTGTTTAGGATGTTGGCTGGTGCTATTCTGTTTTGGGGTTTTGGAACGTAGATATCAACAAGCTTGTTGTATGATCTATCAGCTTTGAATTGTGATATGGACGTTCTACCCGAAAATGCTGGTTATCCCATTCCTTATTATAAGTGGAAAGAATATTTTCGTCCACCTACCCCTAAAAACAAACACATATTAAAAGAAAGTTACGCGATTCACGTTTGGAATGCCAAAAGTAAAAATGAAATGTTACGGATTGGTTCTGGAAGCATTTATGAAAATGCTATGAAAGAAAATTGTCCCTTTATATATGAAAAATTAAAAAATGAAAACTGATGTATTCTGGTATATGGTTGGGTAATACGCGCGTATTCACAACGGAGATTTATAAGTCAGTGTATGAAATTAACCAATTAGCGTTCACCTAATTAAAGTACAAATAAATGGTAATTGGTTAATTTACGACTCTTGATTATTGGTTTTTTTTAAAAAAAACTCTTCCATCTCGTGGTAGAAATGGATTAACGCGAGTTGCTGGCCAGATATATTCTGGGAGCTGTAGTGTGGCACCACCGGTCTATGCTGGTTACTTTCCGGGAGGTCTTTTTAAGAGTAACTGGCCCATCGTCAGGCGTTATCAGACGTGGAGAGACCCGTAAAGCTTCACGTTGCCAGCCCGTCCTGGCAAGGCGCGAATCCAACGACCGAACTCCCAGTGTTCAGGGAACGGTACAGCTTGGTTAGTGATGTGCCAACCACCGATCTAAAGAACTAGTGTTAATATAAGGCTAAGGCCAAGCTCATAATGGGATTTAAAGGCTTTTTAAGTGCTCACAGGACGATATAATTTTAAAAAAGTAACTGTCCAGTTGTAATTTTGTGTGAGTATTTTGAAACTCAAATAAATTTATTTTCTTTGTTATTTTCTATGTCGTTATTTAGAATTTAATTTATGATATTAATAAATGAATTTTGTATTTATTATATTTAATTGTCGAAAATGATATATGTGTATTCTGTTTTCTGTGTATTGCGTTAGATCTTGGTGGGAGTGTGTTTTATTTTCGAGAAATATTCACCGATTAATTATAAGCAACTTAAGGCCTTTAAAAAAAGCCTTACGTTACTTTATAGGCTAGTAAAATACAAAGAGGGTCACTCCCCTTTTCGTATTATTACTAGTCTGTAGGGTGGCATTTTATAAATTAGGTCATATTTGTTATTGTTTTCTAAACAATATAGCTTCATTTGCAGCTATATTACAAATTAAACACTCTCTTTTATCCATGGCGACTTTTATAATGACTGTCAAAGCAACAGAGTGCCAAAATAAGATGGCGACAAAAGCCACTTCACTTCTCTTCTGTCGCCATCTTGAGAAAATTGTTCCTTTTCGTTGGGTTTTAGTAGCCATTTCGGAAGGGAACAGTACAAAATAAGGCAAAAGTTTAAAATTTATTAAAATGTTAAATAAACTGTTAAAATTTTAATTAAGTCGAATTTTTGAGAGAAAATAATTCAAGTTAAAAGTGTGCGAAAATAACTCCTTTATTTAAATGTCTGCTGATGACACCTGATTATTACCAACATATGAAAGGTACAGTACAAGTATATCTGGCAATTACATAATGAGTTTATTATTATTAATATATATTAATAAAAATAATATATTTTATTCTTTATTAGTAAATTCACTAATAAATCAATTTTAATTAACTTTAATGCTCTAAAATTAACTTTATGAGTTGTCATACAGATAAGGCACGACACAAGTTAATTGTTATATATACAGTTAAGGCTCTATAATAAATTAAGGCAAACTTTAAAGGATATACCAACATTATTCTGCACTTCAGAAAACGTCTTTGATGTTAAGAGTAATCTAATTTTTATATTAAAGTCGCATATTGTAACATCAGTAATTAGGTTATGCTTCATTCAGCTTATGTGTCAATTATTAGTGACGTATAAGCTTATATAATCATAACAATAATAATTGAGTTTCCAGCTGAAATTGTTTGTTTACCCCCCTTTTTTTATAAATATAAAGCAAAACACAGACTATTAATGACGTGTAAGCTGTGTTAAGGAAAAGGGGGGATTAAGTGGTATTAATGGCATACGAATTTGTTCTTATAAACTATTTATAAAACCACGCATGTCATTTTAAAAAGAATTTTTCTATAGTGACCACGTTGTATTATCCAATCGGAAGTAACGATGTAACGAGCCCTTCATTTAAAAAGTGCTATCGCTCATGTAAATAGCGAAGGCTACATACATACATACATAATATCATCTTGGTTTGCAACGTGGATTTAAAAGAACTCGCTATTTGTCGGAAAAAATGCCTAGGGGAAAGCGTAAGAGTAAAGTTGGTCAGGTAAAATCTAGATCTAAAAGAATAAGAACAACCGAGACGACTCGAGCAACATTGGCTTTGACAAGGGCTGCAGAAACAGCATCACAACGTCAAGTTCGACTCGAAGCTCTTCTCAATTCTTCAATCTAATAAAAAATATTCCGTCATGTTTGATAGGAGAATTTCTAGTATATTATAATGAAAAAGTTATAAAAATTGGAGGCGCCGGGTATCGATCCCGGTACCTCTCGCATGCTAAGCGAGCGCTCTACCATCTGAGCTACGCCCCCTTGTTAACACGAATCCACTTTAAACTTCCTTTGTACGAAAGTAAATTAAAATTTTTAAAATTTGACCTAATTTCTGACATGGCTGTGTGTCTGGTTTAGCGTTACGTTGAGTGTAGCGACTCAACGCGACGCGCTATTCCCACGATGGAGAATCACACGATTAGTAAATAATTTTACATATTAAACAAGGTGATCATATTTAAAAGTTCAGAGCTTTGACCCTAATAATCTTCTAGGCCAGGGGTCGGCAACCTGCGGCTCGCGAGCCACATGCGGCTCTTTGGATGTGAAGCTGCGGGTCTTTAGTTCCATACGCAAATATTATTTATTTTATCAAAAAAAAAAAACCATTTAAAAATCGTTCTGAATCGATTAACGATAATTCGGCACTGATTCTATCTCTCAGCCACTTGTACTTGCTTTTCATCGCACCCCTCCCCGTGACACGCGTCGTCACTGTCGTCAGTCCTTCGGAAGCTCTCGAATGACGCCGTCGTCGGATGTTTCTATGAGGTTTAATTCGCTTTCGCCGCAAGACAATTTTGAATAAATAGATTAGTTTTTTTTATGAAAAAACTTTATTTATGCGAGTACTATTTATTGTTGGCAAGAAAAATTTTGTGGCTCTTTAAAAACTTTGAAATTTTGTAAATTGTAATTTTTGGCTCTTCTGACTCAAAAGGTTGCCGACCCCTGTTCTAGGCAATACCTGTACAGAGATGAACAATTGATATAACAATTGTTCATCTCTTTATAACAATTGTATGAACAATTGATATAACATTATATGGTGTTGAATATCATCGTAAAACAAGTGTATTTCTGGAAAAACATCTTGCAGAAAAGAATATTAGTGTGTTAATACATATTTATTGAATACAATGAAAAATAAATATGGCGATTTTCAATATTTATCAATTATCTTCCAACGTAACTGTGCATTATTAAAGTGTACAAAAATTAAGGTTGGACATAAAAATTTATTGCAATTTCTGATTCAGCCTTCTCTGCATATAAAAAAAATCAATTATTAAATAAATGGAAAAGATTTTATTCGTTAACTCGCGGCTTTAATTACTGAAACATTAAATTAAATTGTATTTTCATTATAATAATAAAAATTAAATATTTAATTTAATAATCAAACTCGCTCCACTAGAGACCGAGAAGACAAATTCAATGAATATTGATAGTTGGTCACGTCTTGTCGCTCGACCACGTGTCTTTTCAAATCCCATGGGTACTTCATACTTCGAACGTTCCAGAGTTCGAACTGCACGCGCAGTAAAAGTGCGCTCGCTGCATAAACGCCATTTATTGGGCGCCTAAATAGTCTCTCGCTGTGGCTATTAAAGCATCTATTTTTTTCTCGTATGCTTTCTTAGTGCTATTTTCGCTGCATTTTTCATGTGTTTGTTTAGTACGTACAGTATTAAGAAATAAATTTCTTATTTGCTTATCAATTCAAGTAAACAACACTTTTCTGCATTGATATTCTTGATGTTGTTGGTAAACTAAACCATACAACAATAACAACATCTAATGGATCTAATATGAATCTAATGGATCAAAAATATAACATTTACACTGTACATTTATATAAAGACATGACTGAAACACCACTTCTATAATAAGCTGTAATAACCAGATGGGACACGTGGATTCATTGGCTTGTTTTAATCCCTAAAATTTCTTAACCATGGAAACGTACATTTATAAACTAGACGAAGGTCTTCAGCGACTGTAATAAAACTCAAGAATCTGTTGAAACAAGAAAAAGTGTTAAAGGAACTGTACATTGTTCATTCATACAAGTTCTTGTGCAGTTCAGTTTCTAAGCTGGAGGTAAGCGATATGTCTACTGAGAAGCAGTGAGAGAAGCAGTGGTTCCTAAATATTTTCATTTATAAAATCTGGAGTATTTAGTTATTTTAATTTCGATCATTAATATCTTACAACTTAGAATTTGCGTGTAACTAATTAATAAAATTATTCGATATGACCGTTTAAAAAATTGTTAATTATTATTATTTCAGCAAATATCATACACGGTATTATAGGAATTTATATTGTATTTGAAATTATACAAGGTGATTCACTAGGGACTAAACGCTTATTATGTGGTATAAAATGAAAAGATGAATATAAAGTACTAGAGGGACGATTCTTAATTTCATGGCGAAGGTATGTTTTATATTCCATATTGTTTAAATCATGATGTGTTGAACAAAGTAAGTATTCAGTCCCGAGCGAATCACCGTGTATATAAAAAAACGAGTTGCTTAACTTT